AGACAATCAGGTGAGACACCGACGGCCCGAACACTTCTGACATCGATCAGTCGCCATTTCTCGCGCGGGGTGGAGGTTACGTGGATCCTATTATGTAAGGCGGACCGCACTAGCACCACCCAAACTCTTCGTGTTCTCTTTCAACCACGTCTCCCAAGGCATACGGTAGCCCCTCGTGGTGTCATCATCATCATCATCATCGACGCATGACATCGGTGTTCACGCTGTCGATGATGGTGATGACGGCGATGATGACACCGCGGTGTGCGCTATTCTGAATGAGACACGGGAAACACTCATCATCTCGGTAGACAACGTTTCGGCATGCATAGCGCATGACTGAGCCAACGGAGTGGATGATGCCGGATGTTCGCCGGCATTGCATAATCACGAAATCCTCGTAAGAACTCCCGATCAGTGGTTCTAACCATCTTCATTTCTGGTGTCCATTACAAAGCAGACGTATCGGTCCTGAAGCGCTGCTGGCCGCATCAAATCGATTTGGTTCGACAGTACTTAACTGTTGAAACTAAAGAAGACGATGGTATATCGGAACAATGGCATACTTCCTCTGTTAGGTTAACCCGCAGTGGTAACGGCAATTCAATGCCGTACAGTCTGTCTGAACAACACTCAAACTGGGCATATGACTGATACTAGAATTGTAGTACACACTTATATTATTATTTCACCACAGTGAAATAATTATCTGCCAACCAACTTGTGCGGACTATCCATTTCAGCGAACTGTACGCCGAAATTCCAATACGTCCAAATACAACGGCGTTATTTGTTTCTCAACGTAGATCACACCTACTTTAGATGCGTCCATTCGGTGGTTTCTCGAAAGCTTCAGATTCTTTCGAAAGAACGCGCGATGATCCAAATATTTCTATTGTTTGAATTCGTGCTCCAAGTCGATTCTGGACACGGAAATGTTTGCGCTGTATTTCCGATAACTTTGTGTATTTTCTTTCACACAACACCTGTAAACATATTGTTTTTCTCAGCGCAAAATGTCATGTGATTGCTTCAAAATGCGATGGAACAGTTTATTGACTTTCCATTATTTCGTGAGAAATCAGAATGAGTTTAGATGAACAACATTCATCGTACTAGCAAGTGTTTGTGTATTTTCGATAGGCCACATTTTGCCCGGCGCAGTTTTTGTGTTTGAGCCCGAGATAGCTCAGTGGTTGAGGAGCGGACATACTGACCCGAAGCTCAGTGATTCGAAGTCAATCCGAGTACCTCGAACGCTCCCGTCTAAGCTTGGGCAGCTTGGCAGTATCTCAGCCCTCTTGGTTTCTTCCCGTGGCATGGCCGTTAGACACTGAAAGAGTATCCATGAACGTGTTCACATAGTTCAGGTATTTTTCTAGAAATTATGAGCATCCTGGCGTTCCTCGAGCCTTCAAAATTATTTATCCAAGATTTCAGTGGAAGGCAATTCTTCTTGCATCAAATTTTAACAGCAGCTCATTTCACTAACTGATTTTATGCGGTTTCTTTTACTTCTGCGAGGCACAAACTGGTACGGATGACTAGAATGTATCAGCTGTCTCCATAAAACGGTCCGCAGCCCCTGGAACCGATTTTCCTGAATCATGTGGAGGACTTGTTGAACTGACAAGTATTTCCGTGACCAGGCACAGGTTGCACGATTCTGATTCTGAATTTTTTTTTAGGTAAGATGAATCTGGTGAACACAAAGCAACAGTAAAGCGCTCCTCCATCAAGCACTGTTACGCACATCGGGTTCATTTGTGTTTCGAACTTCATGTTGTAGGGGGATTCCTTCAATTTTGCTTGAAAGCCTTGTGAGTAATCTTGACGCCAGAAACTTTTCTGTGGATGTGCAAATGACACATCAACGGAGCTTTGATAAATTCTGTGACCTCGAATCTGGTCACTGTCGTATGGCCTATCTCTTTTGCCCTAGAAACTATGGTCGAAATTCTCGGCCAGACGGATTAACCATCAATTCTCGAGAAACTTTTTGTGGATGTGCAAATGACACATCAACGGAGCTTTGATAAATTCTGTGACCTCGAATCTGGTCACTGTCGTATGGCCTATCTCTTTTGCCCTAGAAACTATGGTCGAAATTCTCGGCCAGACGGATTAACCATCAATTCTCGACAGTGGCTCTGGTGATTTCAACTAGAGGTGGATCAAACACTCACTGATCAAAAAATGAGTCGAAAATGTGCAAAAGATGTTCATCCCGTGTTCGGAAAACAACCGAAGCAGTGGTGGTTGTGATCTCCACAAGTCGATACAAAAATGATACGGTCACGTGACTTCTTTGACCAATCGTTCGGTCATGCATTTTCAGCCAAGTTGACTGACTTACACCAAGACTAATACTCACGTGACTGCAGCGCCTGACGGTCAGGCTAGAGCAGTCGGACCAGGATTTTTGTGCTTCCAGGCTATCGTACTGCGTTGTTTTTACGCCTCAATTCGCCGCTTGGTTGGGCTTTCCCCAGTTAATCAAAAAGACCCTCGCCACTATGTAAGACAAGCAAAAGGGAAGCTTTTCCTTGCATGGGACACGAGACGCCGAAAGAAAAAATACACAATATTCGTACGTTAACCAAATAATCAGGTAAGGCGGATCTTAACTTAGTTATGTGAAACCGAAAGAGTTCTCCGTCTGTCTTAGTGCGCTTATTCCGGCAATAAAATTCAACTTTTAACTCTTTTTAGAGTTCATCGGCATGATATATCCGGGATCGGAACTTGGGTTGTATGTTGTAGGAAGTATATGGGGTTTAGCACTACCCCGCCCCGCAGACAGTCAACGCACCCAGACTGGTACATCCGAGAAGCGCGTTCACACTCGATCAGTGCGTCATTTTGTCGATGACCGACAGGTCAGGAAGCACACTGTAACCTTCCGAACTAATTTAATTACTTACACAGACCTACGGAAGATATTTCTATTCACATTCACATCACTCTCGTTTGAACAGTCGTCTTCCCGTCCTGGCGTAATTATTCTAGTGAATACACACCAAAGGGAAGCACTGGACTCGATTTTCGCTCTCATTAGAGCTCATCAGCAGTGCATATACAATGGCCATGCCGGGGTTTGAACTCCGGACAGCTGGCATGCGAGACGAACGTGTTACCACTATTCCACCAGCGCACGTTGGACGCATCTGAATTCTCACGTCCGAACGGGTGAACGAGTTCGCACTTGAACGATGTGATTAGTATGCCCAACACATCACCGATACGAATAATTTCGCCAGGACAGAAGGACGACGATTCAAACGAGAGTGATGTGAATGTGTGAACAATACACATCCCACAAACCTCACAATATTCCTATGCCTTTATTTTATACAATACTTTCTCACACGTCATCGCGTTTGTTCATATTTATATAGTTAGCTCGCGATTAAAACAACCGTGCATTTGTTCTCTATGAATGGTCAGCAACTCAGACTGTTAGCTTGATACATGATCATTGTCACTGGTAATGGACAGTATAGCGCAAAAGGCGCTATCGTCTTTCTAATTCTCAGGTTTGTCGTAGAGGGACAGCGAATTATTGCAACCAGACTGCGGGGTGAAAAATAGTTTTGTCTTTCAGACTCACCTACACTGCTTCTCTGAATTCGACTCCGTAGGGCCAGGCAGTTACATTCAGTGGCCAGTTTCTTAGCACAGATCTGACACGCAACTGATAACATGCATTTTATTCTCCCTCTTGACACCTGAGTACTCATATGATGATCAGTTTTCAGTCGTTTCATACAGAATTGCTTAGAAATCGTGTTGGGTGTCCATCTGATGAAGCACATGAGTTACGAAGAACTTTCCTTCATGAAACTATGCGACGAAGTCTGGGTGTCGTCCTAAAGAGAACATGAGGCGGCTGAGGTTCGGTTGAGTCTTTCCTTAATACCAGATATCTCAGACAAGTTCGAATCACCTTAATCTTCGTTTTCGAAAAAGTTTGGTGACAATCGGCAGATTTATTGCTGATTGAACACACCTTATTCTTCATTTTGAGGGAATCTGGCGATCGATAAAGTTGCCCAGTGAAGTATTATCCATGCAGGCTTGAAGAATTCGGAATTGCGGGGCAATTTAATGCTTGAGAGCAAACAGATCATCAAAAAAGACGTACTTTGTCAAGTATACCCAAAGTCACATAAACCTGTGCAGATTGTGGGCACGAATGCCCTGGTCGAATCGGGTTTACCAGGGGCATTTCTTCACTCACCACTCGGAGCAGTTCTCTTCCAGAAACCAGAGTGATTCCTCAATACATATTTTGATAGTTATTGAGTACTAAGTGCGAAGCTACGTACTTCAAGACAGCCGACTTATACTAAGTCCCTTTACACACAATATGAACGAAAAGACGCAAAAGGCGACCCCTCGCTCACCTTGTTATCAGTCACTTCAGGTGTCGAGGACTTTTCGCTCGTCTGCAACGCACGTCTCAAGATATTCTGGCTCCTCTGAAATGCTAATATGGACCGATAGCAGACAGTACAATGTATCATCTATCCTTCCATTATCCAGTTCACATCACGTGGTCCAACACTGTTCGATTCATGGACTGGTAACCTCTCGTGGAAAGGAACGCATAAATTTGGATTTTTTTCTCTCTGAGCACTGGTTATAATTTCAAACTGGTCTGGGATGATTGTACAGAAGTTTATGCCTTCGCCTTGCAACCCTAGCGAAAGATTCTAGAATTATTATGCTCCACTTATTGTCGTTTTCAACCGTACACATTAGTTGAGTTGAAGGGCACCGTGATTAACACGTGTTATACTACTTGTCGTTTGTACCTGGATGCAACTTTTTTTACTCTAGTTTTATAGGTGTTTGCTACTTAGATACAACAAGGCAGTAGTATGACTGTTACGCAACATACTGTTCCAAACCTCGCTATCTGCCGATATCATATTGTGACCCACTCGCTGGCCCATCTTGTCACTATTTTGATCAGGTGTCTCTATTTGACTTTCCAGCTCAGAAGTCCACCACCGCGTACAGTCCCCGTCAGGCTGCGTGGAAATGAGACGGCTCGAAGTTATCTACGACGCCTTAAGGATGACCGCGCAGTCACTCGAAACAGAGTGCATAAATCCGAATCGCTTGGGCAGAGCAGACGCTGGTACGTGCAGGAGGTGGCTTCACAACGAGGAGAAGGTCGTTTGTTCGAGGACCCATTCTTTCCGGCAGATGACAGCAGTATCAGACGTGGTGGGAAACCCGGCTGTTCCGAGTATGACTGGCTGCGACCTCATGTAAGTCATCACCTTGCCTGAATCCACGTAGGACACGTTTTCTCTGAGGAGTGTAACGGAAGACTACCAGTACGGGAACGTACTGTTCCGTTAGTTGAATGCGCCCTGATCAAGCCTAGTGCTCTTGCCGATCAGAAAAGGCAGCTGTGGAAAATTCGCCTTTGGTCTCTTTTCCTGGCTGTAAGGAACATCCGGGTAATACACACGGAGACGTCTAGCTCTTCGAGCGACTGCTGAGTACAGTGATACATGTCCACAGCACGTACTGCTTGCAGTCACCATCTCTCTAGAGTAGCTGCTTTTTGCTTCGCTTATGTTCTTCACATCATTTTTCTGGGGTTGAGTAACGTGGGATTCACCAATTTTTACTGACGACGATCGACGTCAGCTTGCGGTTGACGGTTTTACTGACGTACGACGATCGACGTCAGCTTGCGGTTGACGCGGCGAATCACAACAGCTACTTGGATCCGTGGCTGGACAGAGTTCTTCCGGGCAGGAGACAGATCCGAATTCTGCGGACATGACATGTATCAGTCACTGTAGAGCAGGGTACACCTCAGAGAGCAAGATAAAGACAATGAAATTGGTGCATTCTTCATCGAACAGATGAGAACCTTCGGCGGTTGGAGTTTTGGCCGATCCCGTTAGCTGTAATAACCGCGTACTCGTCGTACAGTGGTTGTAGCTGCCGCAGTTTCGTTCACCGATGATTCGGGGGGGGGAGGTAGCTGCGCATTGCAGGCGGGAGCTGATAAATTAGTGCATAAATCCAGCACCGTCAGTGGGCTGTCAGGTGGGGGTTGGGTTGGAAAAGGGGCTATGTATTGAAGTCAATAGCTTGGATACATGAGAGCTATTGAGGGCGCGACTGGGCCTTGTCTGACAATGTCTCTAACCATTGATATGGCCTATCTTGAGGTCCCATCCAGGAAGACGGCAGTGACCAACGCAGCGGATTTTGCTAGTAATGGCTCATAATTCGCTGCCAAGTCATTGTTTGACCGCATCTACATCCAATCCAACATTGTCAGCCAGGTTTCAAACGTCCGTGAGGCTACTCAATGAGGAAATCATGACCGGCGAGTCAGCCGATCGACAAAAGCAGGATATTTACTGGGTCATCGTTTGAGATTTTGGGTAAGCCAGTCGGAGCGCGTCGAATGTGGGGCAACCTGGGTCCAAATCTCGGCGTGACCAAGGGTAATAAAGTCGAAACTCGAGTTCACTTCTCCGCTCCTTCGTTGTGGACTTACACACAACAATTGCGCTTGGGTAGTAGGATGACCGCTCAGACGAGAGTGGTGTGAGTACACCTTCTAAGGATCCCGCAACCATTTACAAATAAATTGCTCATGTTACTCGGAGTTTTCGAGTAGCTACGCGCCAATTCCACAGTGGCGCACACCATAGACCGTAGTTTGACCGTGCAGAAAGGAACAAAACGAAATCACGAAAAATTATTGTCGGTACCATACGCCCTCTAGAGTCGGGCACACGTGATCTGTGGTGTGTGTGTACGCTGAGGGACGGCTGCCAAGCGGTATTGATGACGTTCTCGCGTTTGCTTTCTACGTAGATTGTTCCACTGAATCTGTGTTGGTTAGTAGGCGAGTGCAACGCCTTCCGCCTTTTGGTTCCGCGGCACTCAAGTGCCATTGTAACCATACCGGCATTGCTGTCAGTGGTGATGATAGTGATGATGACTGATGACTAGAGTTTATGACTGATTGTGACCACAGCCATATTGCAGTTTTTTTTCTACTCCAGCTTTCATGGACTGAACAATCAAAATCACACTGTTAACAGTGAACAGAAAAGTGACGACCATCATTCTAAATCCACTTTATATTCAGTAAAAATCTCATGTTTGGAAAATTTGTTCGGTCCACTGAACTGAACATGGATCGATCGAATCAACAAACTTGTCCCGATGCTAATTATCTTTGGCTAGAGTTACATTCTGGCGTTTGTTTTTAAAACAGTCACACACGTTGAACACTCAGTCAGTCATTCGTGTGCTAACGTTCACTGCAAAAACGACTGGATGCTGTGTACACACACACACACACTCACACTCACACACACATTTGACCTTCACCCTTGATCACTACGCTGTGCAAACGTTGTGACTGGTCTCTTGTACGGATCGACTGTAGCAAAAAAACGAGTAGACCTTGATGCGTAGTAGTCCTTGATGCGTTCGTTTCCGTCGGCTACGCACTGACTGGGTCGTCTTTGACGGATTGATTTTATCGCTTGTTCCGCAACCCAATGGACTGGCTTTTGCTGCTTTCGTCACATAGGATGGTGCTGGTGGACCTACTGACGCAACAGATAGTCAGCTGAACGCCTTTTAGCTGGAGACAAGACCGCAGGGTGAGTAGCAGGGGGAAGTCCTAAGACCATCTGGATTCCATATCGACGGGGCCACAATTGTCGATTCATTTGGGGAACAACTCAACGGCTGAATCCCTCAGTGTATGCGCGGGGTGGCCCGGTCACCCGCATCCCTAATAGGATGTGCCTGAGATATGTCCGTATGTGACAGTTGCCAGATCCATCTGGATTCATATCGACGGGGCCACAATTGTCGATTCATTTGGGGAACAACTCAACGGCTGAACCCCTCAGTGTATGTGCGGGGTGGCCCGGTCACCCGCATCCCTAATAGGATGTGCCCGAGATATGTCCGTATGTGACAGTTGCCAGATCTGTGCATTTTTGACGTTCGTGTCAGCGGCGCTTATGCTGCCAGTTTCTATCCAGATTTTCTGGAGATGTAGGTACGTCAGATATTTGTTTTAGACTGGTCTTAGGTCTCCCTCCTTCCCCATCACTTCTTTTCATTATAAGGCTTTATTCATCATCATCATTATCATCATTATTATTATCATCATCATCATCGACAGTATGACATCCGTGTTCAACACCGATGCTTCACTGCCGTACAACCATGATTTACTTAAAAACTTTATTGTAAAGAGAATAAAAGTGGATGGGGAAGGGACTTAGTACTAGCTTACCACAGTCATTCCTGAGGTCCTGTTTACGGCACGTTCCACATACAGGAATAATTGGTGTATACGTTCTAGTGCCATAATAAATACGTCCAAAATGAGCCTCCAGAAACTTTGATCTATTGCTGCAGTTGACATCAGAGATTCTAGCTCTCGTTCCAAAGCATGCATCAGTGACTCCGAGTCGAGGTTAATGGGGTAGGGTGACCGAGATTGTGTACACTGAATTCTATGGGTAGCTGGGGTCATCATTGTCGTCATTAACAACATGACATCAGTGTTCAACACCGACGCTTCACAACCATGATTTATTTGAAAGAAAGAGTAAAGGTGGACGGGAAAGGGACTTAGTGCTAGCTTACCACAGTCATTCCGAGGTGCCTACACCTCCAGACACTCACTCAGGCGCTCCTGATGGAAACTGACAACAAGAATGTCACTGACATCGGTTGGCAGCCATATCTTGTAGTGTCTCCAACCAGGCACAGTAAGGATCACACGGTCCCCATCCTGGAAGACGAGTAGCACCGACAGAACCCATGTGTTTCGTGATCTCCTTCATACTCCTCTGTCAAGTCAAGGGTTGGCCACCTCTCTGTTTACGCCACTCTCAATTGAGTTTTATTCAAGTAAGTTCATTTGACAATACGACAGTGATAATGATGAGGCTGGTGTTAGTTTCATCAGCTCTTTCACGGATCAGTATGCTGGCAAGAACACTTTGCGTTGAGTAACAGAAGGAAAGTGAAAAACTTACCCAGAGACCGGCCAAGTGGCAGTGTCCGGCACCATTGTTCGGTCCAAACATGTCAAACGTTTTGGTACCGTGTCTTGGTGATAAATACTCCCCAGCAATTGTGGAAACGATTGATCCCGAGGGGTACTGCTTACTCGTTATATATGACGGGACCCATTTCATACTTGCATTCTAGTTCAGAACTAGATATCCAAATTAGTCAGCCAGCATGTGGTTAGCGTCTTGTACGACTTCTCAACGGAGTATCCGACCAATTAGTCCAATGCTGCGTTGGCGAGAACACAGTTTACTAATGCGCACTTGACCGTTCTCTTGCGACTAATGGTGTATTGTAAAAGTATTCCTACTCTGTTCACTGCTTTCTTCATTCTGATTCACAGGAGGTGACCAGGGACCCCAAATTTATCATCGACGGGATCAGTCGATTCGATGTTAAACAGGGTGAAATAGGTAAGGCCTGCCTATATGTGTGCAGTTTGGTACGTTCTAACCTGTTTTATTCTTAAAAAACTATCCAGTGTTCGTGAGCTCGAGATGTTAGGACAAACCGGACCATCGGCTTGCAGTCACAAATCGATTCTAACTTCCAACCTGTTCTTAAAATACACTGTGGGGGGGGTGATGTTCTGCCCTATTCCATGAATCAAGCTTTCTGATTTGAGTTGTCACAAGCGAATTCCGTTTGCACGTTATTCGAACGCATCGGGATGCTCAAAAACTCGACAAATACCAAAGTAACGTCTACCTAAAGGAAACTACTCACAAGGTTGCTGAAAACTCTTCGACAGCCCATGACCGGTTTCGTCCTTCTAATTTGGGCTCATCAGGTAGGCGCAGTCCCCGAGTTTCCGTCAACTTTATGTTCTACTTGAATCGTGCCAAATGAATCATGAGGCGGCCTATATGCAGCACCTTCATTTGTAGAATATCCTAAACGAGAGATTCGGTTGAGTCTCTCGTGAGAACCAAATTGAAATACAAATTAGTGTATTTCTCGATAACGTCTAACTACTCTAGCAATTCTCACGAATCTACTAGCTAGGTGGCTAGGTCAACGCGACCGGAATACCGAGGAATGACGCCTTCATACATCGATAACATCGCCATGCAAGACGCTCGTAACAGCGTCATTTAACGATCATTCATAAAGTTCCACCACGTTTAGACTGCAACAGCGAGGGCAAAACTGCACTGTGCCAACGAATTACACAGTAATCGCCGTGACAAGAGTTGGTTGATCAAACTAGGAGAACGCCATCAGAGTGCACGAGCACAAACCTGCAAACGGGAAACGCAACCCCACTTGTTTCAAATCACGGAGACGGGGAAGCACATCAGTTTAATTAGGAAAGTATTCAGGTGATTTCCAAACAGTAACAAGACGGGGACAGGAGTTCATCGGGGCATAAATTGATCCCCACCTCGAAGCCTATCCAGTCCACCAGCTCCTACGAATAAAGGAAACAGAAAACGACTACTCCTCGAATCCTGTAGGATGCCAGTCAATAGAACAGTGAAAAAAACGCCGATAGCCATTTGGATCGGTTATCCACACTCATGTCGAAGACAAGGAACAACCAACAAGGGCGCAGGGGCGTGAACCATGAAACAACTAGATGGCTTGCTATCTGGAATGTGCTCAAACTGGCTGACCAGAATGCAAGATGTACTAAGTGAAGATGCCAACAGAAGACTGACATCCAGTCAAAAACTCAGAAGGTAACAGAAGAGATGGACCAAGGTCGTTCCGTCCAGAGAAGGTCCGACAACCATTCAAAACACTGAGTAGGAAGCAGAACAATAATTCTTTTGGTAATGAAACTCAGGTTATTCAATTCCCACAAAGAAATCAACACACGGTCTACCTGTATTTGCTCGCACTGCCGAACGAGGCAAATAGAAAGCGCGTTTTCGGGTGTGCAAGGGGTACTCACATTGAATAATGTGTCCTGAACCAGAAGTTGCGTTGGTTGGGACATGTGTTGCGTATGCCGAACCATCATTTGCCGAAGACAGTGTTGTTTTCCGTGCCTAATTTGGAGTGGCGTAAACAGAGAGGTGGACAACCCTTGACTTGGCAGAGGAATATGAAGGAGATCACGAAACGCTTGGGTGCTGTCAGTGCTACTCGCCTTCCAGGATGGGAACCGCGTGATCCTCACTGTGTCTGGCTGGAGACACTGCAAGATATGGCTACCAAGCGATGTCAGTGACGTTCTTGTTGTCAGTTTCTATCCATATCGTCTGAGCGAATGTCTGGAGGTGTAGGCACCTGGGTAGCACCTGTGGTAAGCTGTCACTAGGTCCCTTCCCCATCCACCTTTATTCTTTTCTTTACAATAAGGCTTTCAAATAAGTCATGGTTGTACGGCAGTGAAGCATCGGTGTTGAACACGGATGTCATGCTGTCGATGATGATGGTGATGAGTTTCGAGAGGACTCACTTCGCTGGTAGCCTCAGCCGGCAGCACATCAGCTCCCGTGCTTCCTTCGGGTAGCATAGGAGTTGGACACCGAAGTGGTGGGTTGATTCAACCGGCTTATTCAGTTTTTATTCTTTTGGTATCGCCATTTTTTCAATAGTGATGGTTCTTCTTTGTTTTCGCCGCACATGCTAGCTTTGACGTTCCTCTGAGGGGGAGTTTCTGTCAGTAGTGAAGAGAACTAGGAACGTCTTGCGGCTTACTTTGAGGATTATCCTTCAATACGAAGGGCATCCTCGGAGAGGATACATGTAGAAGCTCTGTACTGGAGACGGCTTAATGGTTAAGGCGCGAACTTATTAACCGGAGGGCTCATGGTTCGAACTCGACCTATGCGTCTCGACTGCTCCCGTCTAGGCTTGGATAACCTGGCAGTATCTCTGCCATCGTGCTTCCTTCGAGTGGCATGGAAGCTAGGCACTGAAAAGGTGCTACAGTTGAACGATTATTTATTATTACTTATTCGAATCATCTGTCGTTCGGTTGTAGCACAACAAATCATTTTTCTCATCCGAAGATTCGAAGTAGATTTCAGTACCTTGGTGGCAGTTAGGCACCGAAAGGGTGTCATTGAGCATCATCACCGTCGTCATCACAGGCAGAGAAGTTGAAACTGACGCATCGGTCTTGTACAACAATAATGAAGTGACCAGGTGTCTAACACCATCATTCTGGAGTATCTGCACCTCAGCAACTGAAAACCAGGTGTCTACCACCATCATTCTGGAGTATCTGCACCTCAGAACTGTCAGTCAGACACTGCACGGGAACTGACACTGATATCGATTGGCCGCCATATCTTGCAACCTCTCTGCCCGAGTGAAAAAGGAGTCGCGAGGACTCCATCCTGGACACCCAGACTTTCAGTAATCTTCTCAATACGTTTTTTCCCCATTCATACGCTTTCCATCCCGTACGACACACGGGGAGAACACCTGTCGGTAATCGATGATTCAACGTGCACAAATGTCTGAGATGCCCCCTGTTGACCAGCTGGTGTTACAAGCAGTGATCCGTCGACAGAATCGAGCATACCTTTAGGGTCAAGAAACGCCATAAATGATGGTCGTCTACACTCGGACGCAGCATTCAAGTCTGATTGATTGTGAATCTGTGGTCCATTCTGTTTCTACCTTGCCGAAGTTCCGATTTTTCGCCTGCTGACGTAGAACAACAAATAATCATTGATGATAGAAAGATTGCAGTTACCTCACACGTTCGGAGTACCATTTTCAAACATCGGCACTGTTTTTATTATTTGGTTGTCTCTCACGGTCCCTCTCGCATCATACTCACCATGAGCATTGGCAAGGTGTCATCACCTTCGTAATACACAACTTCGATTTGCACACAACAAGAATTGCACCTACAAATGGCCTCTATTCCGAAAAAAAATTCGATCGCTTTGTTCGACGAACATTCTGCGGTCTAAAGTCGAAGCAGCACAAACAAGAATCTGAAACATAACTCCCTCCTGCGCAAAATACAGTTCTTTAGCTCTTTTTCAGAGATTAATTCTACGTTTAGAACTTGTTTGAGCCAATCTGTTCTAAACGACACACAGTAAATAGACACATTTTTTTGTTTTTCAGGTGACTGTTGGTTCCTGGCTGCCTTGTCCAGTTTGTCCATCCATCCAATCTGTTACGACACACAGTAAATAGACACATTTTTTGTTTTTCAGGTGACTGTTGGTTCCTGGCTGCCTTGTCCAGTTTGTCCATCCATCCCAAACTACTTGATCAGGTATGTTGACTCATTCTTCTATCGGTAATCGCCAAGGGGTCGGTCCAATTGGATAACAACAGATTGTGAGTACCGGTTGACCTTGGGGATATTCGAGATGGGCCAAGTGGTTAGAGCACGAATTTACTGACCCGAAGGTCCGTGATTCGAACCCGACCTCTGCTTCTCGACTTTTCTTGTCTAGGCTTGGGCGACCTGGCAGTGTCCCAGCCCTCGTGCTTCCTTCATGTGGAATGGCAGCTAGGCACCGAGAGAGTGCTACAGCTGAACAACTATTTATTCGAATCATCTGTCGTCTGGTTGTGGCAGAATCGAATAATCTGTCGTCTGGTTGTGGCAGAATGAGTCGTTCTTTCATCGGAAGATTCGAAGCAAGCTTCAGTACCTTGGTGGTTAACTTCGGTTTTCTTGGCTGTTGAGTTGTACCCCTCCCCCAGTCATGGATGCTATTCACATCCCGTCACTCGTATAAGGTGTGACTTTCTGACCGGAGAGTTCGAGTCCCTATGTGACATTTCGGTTGTTCCAGATGCTGAAAAGTTCCTCACCTCTCTCGACAGGACAGTCTGGAACTCTAAGGAAGGTGGTCCGACCGCATACTCCGACACATTGTTATTCCCTCCTCGTAGATTTTAAGTATTGAAGAGTCTTTGTGCGGCTATTAGACAAGAGCACGTGATAGAGACCGTCACGTGTCTCTCGTCGGTTGATCACCAGGATTACTGACCAGTAGGCACAAACGACCGGTTGTGCGTGGGGAACAAACGCGACAGCCTAGTTGGGAATTACATATCAGTTAAGAGTGCATGGTGAAGGTTTTAAAGTTCGACATCAGACGGGTCAGATGTAGATGAACGACTTCAGTGATGCCTGATATCATCAGAAGCTCATGCCGAACCACAAGGTTTGTCTAAGACATGATGCAAAAGCTAGTTAACCGTCGAATTTTTCTGAATAATATGAGCTCGTCAGCCCCAGAAGACACTTCGAAGTCCTCTTGTCCCACCCCCATCCACAATTTGAACAGAGTGGTGGTTACTCTCCTTATGCACGATGCCAACACTCATTTGCATTATGTAGAGGTCAGGAACAAGACATATTATCTCAACTAACTCATTGAAGCGTTGTGAACTTCTGTCCGTGCACTCAGTAGGTACCTCTTAAAAGAGAGAAGCAACCAGTGTTCCTGGAGGACATCCTTGAAGGGGGAGGGCGGGACCGACTCGTTTCTTGAGAGTGGCCCGCCTTTAGGACATTACGTTACGCGAAAAAAGCCGCGATTTGCTTCCTATCGCTGCTCGAAGAGACATTTTAGTGCGTTGACGGTCGGCAGGGATCGTTTCTGAGGTGATTGTTAATTCGTTTGATCGATCTTGAGTTGACAAAACTGATCGTTACATTAAGATTGGTCGTTTTCGGTTGGTTCGTAGTAGAAAAGCTGAGCCGTCATGTTTTCTTGCGGTGCTTTTCCGGAATTTCTTCGGTTGTAAGCCCTTGGCAACCTTGTCGCTGGACAAATGTTCTATCTCCTGGTACATCCTTAAATGACATGCCACCGACACGAGTTTTTTACGGTGTCGGCTACTATCGCATCCTTGAAGTTGTACGAATGTCAACAGCTTTTTTCCATCCCGGATACATTGTCAATGATTTTGTGTACTTGGAGTTCGCGGTTCGTCAAAATCCATTCTTATTTTAATCAATCAAAAATTATTGATTCCGGTGAAATAAATGAAAAGAGTGATCCATTTGTTTCCATGCCTGGTGAGACTGACAGACGAAGTGGCTGACAGACGCCGTTTTTTACCGAGCAACAATATGGTGTTCTCTCCCAACAGCGTATCCCTCTACGATTCGAACCAGTTTGTCCGGGTTCAAGAGTGTTTCATCATCGTGGCGACCACCGAACTACAATGATTTACGAAATGGGACTTCTCCAAAGAGGTCACATAGTTGTTCTCCGTCACGATTCGGAAAGAATGGAATCGTTCAGCTGTAACACCCTTTCGGTGCTTAGCCACCATGCCACCCGAAGGAAGCGCGAGGGCTGGGATACTCTCAGGTTGTGCAAGCTTAGACAGGGGAAGTCGAGAGCTAGAGCTCGGGTTCGAACCTTTCGGTCAATAGATTCGCGCCTTAACCACTTGAGCCATCTTGAAAAGGAACCACCTTCGACTGTTGTTGATATGCCTCTTTTCTCATAGTGTCCCCCTCTTTTACGTTATATAGAGTCCGATTCACAATGCATTCAGGATGTGTCATCAGTCAATAGGAATGGTCGCCGTATCGCCCAACTTGCCAGTAAGGTTTTCAGTACTACTAGCTTCCCGTAATCTTGTCAGTCTTTCCAGACGACAAAAACTCCGTACACTCTTGGGCTATTGTGAATACCCATCGGGCTCGATCGATAACGCAGAGGTGGAGGAGGACACTAACTAAGGTCTATCTCAGTGTCAGGGGTAGCTGATTGGATCCTGACTGAATTTTTCAGACATAATAACTGAGGCAACAAGCCACGCACGAAATTTTCCACTCTTATTCCAGGTTGTTCCCAGCGGTCAAACTTTCAGCATGCAAGACTGCAACAACGACAAGACCATTCCCTACTGTGGTATGTTTTGGTTCCGCTTTTGGCGCTTTGGTGAATGGTACGATGTGGTGGTCGACGATCGTTTGCCCACTCGCCGTGGACGTTTGGTGTTCATGCATTCCTCGGATCGGAACGAGTTTTGGTCTGCACTTCTCGAGAAGGCCTATGTGAAGTAAGTGTTCGAGGCGGCAAGGTGCTCGGATGGTTGTCTCTCGTGCGCAGATTCCCACATCAGACACCTTATCTTCACCTCCATTCCCCATCGCTGTTCGGTAATGCTTGCACCTCATGCAGTTGAGAAATATGCTTTCAAGACAGGTCACAAATATGGGACACTTTGAAGTGGCATGTGACGAAACTCCCTACAAAGTGCATCAACAACGTGACTCATTGAGTTCGCCTGTGTTGTTTCCGACAAACACGTCAAAGGTAGGTGAATATGTGGACATTTCAGGTTCGTTCACCCGAGAAGATGAACCCAAAGAGTGGTAATGTTGTGGAATATGGGTAGCTCGGGTGCGCTGCTTGGTTGTTGGTCTGTTCGCTGAGCTTGGCAGTTACATTGAATGGGTCCTCCACTCAACCCCGCACGGACGATGTCAACTCGATTGGTGATGTAACCTTAGCAATACAACTGCCAAGCTCGGCGAACAGGCAGACCAACAACCAATGCAGAGTGTGGCTTACTCATTCCTGACCTTCTAAAGGAGGAAAAGTCCAGTGGATGCCTTTATCCACTTTGTACATCATGTATTTGGACGCGCGAATCGTTCTCAGATTTGCTGCCCTATATTCTATTCTATCTCTCTCTCTCTCTCTGAGTTGGTTGATCAAGGGAACCTAGATTGCGGTGCACAGCAGGCCGCTTCTCTGGCACAACAAACTAATCGTAAAAAGGATATGCCACTTACCAGTGGAGGTCGATTGTGGCGGGCCTTGGCGCTGGACGGCATACTACTCAGTTCGTTGCCGCTCAAAGATGTCGTTCATCCGAAATTGTATTTTAAATCATCCCCTAAACTATTGCATTGCTCCACAAAATATTAGCAGTTATCGTGATAGTTGCAAAAATTTAGGGACTTGGATGCAAATCACTTTCCCTCCATTATGGAAACTGTGCATACCTGATGAGCCCGAATTGGAGAAGAATTGAAGAAGAATTGGAGTAGAAACACGGGCCTATCTGATGAACTCAAAGTGGAAGGGCGAAACCGGTCGTGGGCTGTCGAAGAGTTTTCAGCAATCTTGTGAGTAGTTTCCTTCCAGAAACTATACTGCGATATCTCGAATATCGTGCCAACTGAATCATGAGGCGGCAGCACATTCAGTTGTGGAATATCATAAACGAGAGATTCAGTTGAGAACCAAATGGATTTGCAAATGAGTGTATTTCTCCAATATTCGTTTCTTCTTTGATGTGCCTACATAACCGTCCGTGTAGCTGCCGTAGAACCGAACCCCGGTGCTAATTCTCTCAGAGGTCAGTCGACTCGTGTCTTGTCCGACATGTCTGTTAGCAGTATATTCTTTTTGTTTTAATCTATAGGCTACTTGGAACTTATGAAGCAATGAAAGGTGGAAATACCGCCGAGGCAATGGAGGATTTCACTGGTGGACTCACCGAGTTAATGGATTTGGGTGCAAAAGCGCCACCGGATCTCTTCCGTATCATGGAACGAGCGCATTGCCGATCCTCTTTGATGGCCTGCTCGATCGATGCCACACCGGAACAAGTTGAATCCGAAGGACCCTATGGTCTGATCCTTGGACACGCGTACTCAGTGACCGATGTACGAACGGTAGGTGAAGTTGTGCGTTGCAGCTCATTGGCTACTCTGACTTTTTTCCGGTCACAAACCTCAGCAACTTGGTAGGTTTTGGATGTATACAAAAGCAGTCTCAGAAACAGAAGGAACAGATGGAGTGAGGAGTGATTTTACGAGTGTGTAGCACACCCTTGAACCAAGCCACTGCAGGCAACCGTGAAGTATGGTTGGCAAACACCTCCGCTGAATATGATGGCTTGGAATTCCGCCCCGCATGTCATTTGGTCAAGGGTTTCGAAAGCTAGATAAAGTACAGTAAAATTTATCCTCGTATCTGAGGGCGCGACTATCCCATGCGACTGAGATCCCCACTACAGACACTACTTGGCCCTCCGCCACCTCACGGGGTTAGGCATCCCAATCGCAGTAACTCACGGGCCAGTGTCGTCTTTGGTTAATTAGGTTTTGACGATGGAATATTGCTTGATGTGAATGTTCGCTATTGGTCAATAAAGTCTCGTGAAGCAAAGGCACTTGACATCAAATTCCGTATTTCAATCTACTTAGCTGTGTGACGTGGGACGTTAGCTACCCTAGTCTATGACAAGTTCGGGGACCATTCATATTAAGTGTCTCTCAAAGCTTCTTGAAGCCTGAACCTCCGCGTTGGCGTTCATACAGACAACGAAATTTGGATTGGTCCTCTAGATTGCTTCTCATTAAGAACAGTGCTCGTTGGCACGTCGGTTTAGTGAAATGGAAGAGAAAAAGAAGGGAGAACAGCGAAGAAAATATCAATGTATCTTTAAACTCGTCTGAAGAGGTGATCATTGTTTAGCCCCTTATAGCCAACCCTTTTACCTGCCAATTCTCCTTCAGGAGAGTTCACTTTTGATCGACCTACTCAAGTGGTCTTTCCCGAAGGGAAAGTAAAATATCGTTCAGCCGTAATATCCTTCCATACCATACCACCTGCAGGAAGCACGAGGGCTGGGATACTGCCTGGTTGCCCAAGCTTAGACAGGGCAAGTCGAGAGGCAGAGGTCGGGTTCGAACCACGGACTTTCCGGTCAGTAGATTCGCGCTCTAACCACTTGAGCCATCTCCCCCCAAAGAATACAGGCATGGTACAACGTGCTTACAATATGGCCTCACCACACTGCGAGTCGATACTGTTTAGATGCCTTTAAACCGAGTCCACCTGTTGTAGTTAAGACGGCCTGTTCGCTAATTTTCATCATGAGACGACGAATTTGCGTGCTGAGAAGGGCCGGGGCCAACAGCTCATCATAAAAATGCCAATTTCATTAACTCTGGTCAAAATCAGGTGGACACGGAAGTGACGCCATCGGCGTTGGTCGTGGCTGTCCAGGACAGCTCAGCACTCAAGCCGCGAACTTACCAACCGGAAAGTCCATGGTTGTAACCTAATCTAGGCATCTCGACCGCTCCACTTTAGCCCTGAGAAACCTGGCAGTATCCCGATCCCCGTGCTTTCTTCGGACAGCTTGGGCACAGAATGGGCTGAACGATTATTACTTGTTACTACTCGGTTATACACTACAATCGCTAGCTTATGTACTTCGTCCAATACTTTTCCCTCTCAGCTGTTCATAGCAGTTCATAGCAGAAAGCTTTTTGTAGTAGCGGGAAAGACGACATGTGGGATAGATTGTCGTTAGTGCATCCCCGGGACTCGAGGCGTTTCGCAGCGTGTGATTTTCTTCGTGTTATCCAATTTATTGAACCAGGGGTCATTCGAGCTCAAGCGTTTTGGTAGTCGACAGCATCTGTTTACTTCCTCCTCTATCTATGGGACCTTCAGTCTTTTCCGTGAGTCAAGATTCTGATTAGTTGAAAGGTTTTAGCATGGAGTACCGCGAATTCGCTGTATCTGTAACAACTCTCTCCGTCTAATACGAACGTATCTGTGCACGTCACGTTCACGGGCCATTCGTGGCCAGCATGACTACCTTCCTCCTTCGATTGATTTCGTTCGGCTATTTTGACGCCGCAATTATAAATAACGGGTGACACACGCAGACAATCATACAATGACCATACATTTCAGACAAAACGCCGATTCACTCCTGTCGACTGAAACAGAGCGTACGTGAACGTCACAGAAACCGAATTTTTTTACAGCTTATGCAGTTGAATTCGTAATTCGCGAGGGATGAACGGTGCTCTGGCGCTTCATTTCTCTGACCCTATTTTGTCCCTTGTGAAATTCGCTTTCATATTTCGGTGTCTCACCGTGGGGAACTTGCTTTGTGCTCGGTGATTCACCTTCCTGTTTGCGTCACCAACTATTCGTATGAACCGTGCATGCATATCTGTTTGTTTGTTTGTTCCACTTGTCCATTCGAATATGGATAAACAACACTGCATATTCGAGCGAGAAATAATTGAGCTACCCCAAAGAGTCGGTCGCAATCTAGATTCGTGTGTGCAAAAGAGCTAGTGCCGCAGGGAAACGTTTGTCGCATTAGACGGCAACTCTTTGGCGTGGGGGAATACCCTAAAGTGAAAGAGCGCGTGAAAGCGTAGACACCCTGGTGTTGCGAACCTCTATTGAAGTGGACACTCCCCACTAGAGAGTAGTAGTCCGGTGATCATCTTAAGTTCTCCTGATTCTGGGGAACAAAAGTCCGCGAATCCCGAGTAGGGGAACAAAGCGTTGGGGGCAGGAGGCCCGTTTCTTATTGACACGTCCTCGCTAAGATTTCCCTCGTATCGATGACAAGATTGCTTCGCTTTAACGTATCTTTCATCCTTAGTGATGAGACGACGTTTATATAACATTCTAGACCGGAGCTGACATTTCGAAGGTGCTCATGAAGAGATTCGAGTCAGAGTTGTCGAAACTGAATTCCACAAGGCTATTTAATGGCCTACTCGGGCTTGGGTTGACCTGATTCAAAACTGCCAAACACCAGATACAAGCAAATCAGGCAGACACAATCTCTGCCTACCTAACCTCTTTTGTGACGGCAACCTGGCAGTATCCCAGCCCTCGTGCTTCCTTCGGGTGACATGACAGCCAGGGACTGGAAGGGTGCTACAGCTGAATATTTGAACGTTTCAACATCAGGAAGTATCTTCACTTATTTTTGCGTTGTTTAAATCAGCTTCTGTCTTATAAATGGCCAGCCACCTAGGTACTACGTAAACCTACAAACCTAGCGGGCTCGACGCCTATTCCACCAGGGCATGCTGCATGCTCTCTTTGTCATCTTTTGTCAACTAACAGAAAAGTGGGAGTAATAACATCCGGAGATCCCTGTAAGAAAATGCTCGTGAAGGCGTTTCAGTGTCAAAATCTCCAAAAGTACCTACATCAAGAGGAGATGAAATGTCGGGCAAACCGATCAGGGCACAATGTATCCCTGTATTTCGGAGAGACTACAACAGATCGAGCATGTAGCGCGCTGTGTGGGTGGCTGTAGGACCAACCTGAATCTCCCTCTGCTTGCAGTCGGGGTGGAGTTGGACGCTCATAGTACCGTAGACTATGTGAACAGTTTGTAGGCAGCATGCGGCGTTTGTCTCAGTGCTGTGAACCGGTCAGCACAAACAAACGTGAGGATGAGGCTCACACAAGTGTTTTCAGCCTGCAAAAACTGAATATCTTCTCCAAAGAAATACCGTCAAAACAAGTCTGTACAACACGCTAGGTGTGTCTGAGTTACCGGGAACCTTGAACGATCATTCAGTAATGATGACATAAAAACAGTGCCACAGAATCGCATTGCGAAAGCACCGTTCTGTCACGCGAAAGAATACGACATATTCTTTATTCACAGTCAGGCTTCCAAATAAATGGTAATTGTACGGCGACGAAATATCAACGCTAAACTCTCATGTGCGGTCGATGGCGATGATTCACTCGACTTTAATCTACAACTTAGTTGTATGCGTACTACCATCTAGCTACAACGTTACCTGCGGGTTTGCGTCACATCCATCAGTGTGCTATTGAGAATTCGGTTTCTCCTCAACCGAATGGTATATACAATCGTGAACGTAACGATGGATAGTTGAGCCGATGCCAAAACATGCGACCAAAGTTGACCTCGTCCTGGTATGGGGTGCACTTTTGTCTTGTTTTTTTTCCACGGGTACATTGAACCCATTGTTTGGTGATCACCAGACAAAATGCCTGATAACGAAACGTTTGCTGACCAAGCTCGGCGAACAGATCAAGAACCACAAAACGAACCCGAACTACTAATATTTTGACATAATGCCAACAGATTGGCCGTGGAAGTCATTTGCGATTGTCTGAAGAACCTCGAGATACATTCGTTTACAACAAAACCCGAAGTGTCAACTTACAGGGAGGGTGAACTGCATTACAGTTGCTTCTCTAGTGCGCTTTTCAGACAATGGCCAAATTGAGATATCTGACATCTTTCCACATTCAGCAGGGTGTGTGTGTGTTTGAAACTGATTGTGTGATTTTATTCAAAGTGGTATACATACTTCGATATGTGACTAAAGCCTTTTCAATACTGTACCGATGCCTTCAGTTTATGCTAGTAAGTTTGACTTTGTTTTTATTTTGTTTTGGGTTCCTCGAGTGCATCCCACTTGTACGTTGTCGTTTCGTGGTCCGTCTTTGTTATGCTGGTCTCCTAATTTTCAGTTTCATGCATTGCAGGGTTAGTCTTGTTCGTGAGCGAGCTGTTGTTAAACTTTACCCCCTCTGCTATCGCATCGTGAGAAATTCCGTTTCCAAGTCACTCTATTCTTGTGCACTTTAGACTCCGTGACATTCCTTCGTTTCTGCATACACGCATTGCATGGGTGTATGGTAACCGTTATTTCTTTTTTATTCGTACCGATTTTTCTGTGGAATGTCTTGTCAGAAGGTCAGTTTGAATCAGTCCACCTGTGGCTGACCAGTTTCAGTTGGTTTCTGTTCCGTCTTTTTTCTTTTTCAGTGTTTTTTTAGCATTTCCGACATTTTTGTTGATGTGGCACTATAGTGTCGTTCTTTTTCGTTACGGTGAACCAGCGCGCGGTACATCCCCCCACCTAGTGATTCGCCATGAACCGAACACCTTTCTTCACTAGTCTTCGTAAGTTCTCTCAAAACGATGGACAAAGGTGTTGTGATGCACGAAAAAGTATAGTTTTCATCAGACTCACTCGCTTGTCCTTGTGTTAGTTGACCTAAGATGGGTTGGAATCATTGCAGTCACATGACTGCCTTTGTTTCTCATTTGTGGTAGGAAGGTAAGGTTAGTTCAGCTCGTAACCTTTTGCATCTGTCCCACGTGACATGTCGACCGTCGTTTGTCTACACCTGAGCTGTCTCAACTAGTGTTTTGTTATTCTCAAAGGTTGTCTAACTTTTTGCCCCGGCGCATTGCAAACAAACTGTCATCAACTGCTATTCCCTGTGGGGTTGAAACCCTGTTGTTGTGCTGACATTCCTTCCATCATCAGCTGGGTATCAAGACGCCTCTCGGTGTTCGTCCGAGGTCTTAGGGGCCTGATTCACGTCGTGAGGTTGTTCGGGCAACACTGGCGTCTCTCTTTGGTCCTGGTACATCTGTGTCTGTGTGAATTGATGCGTTCCCGTGTCTCGAAAACTGACCTCCTACTACCGATCTTGTCGCGCCAGTAGCTTAGCTTGACTGGCGCTACAATATGGTTCATTGACTTCTGCCCTGGGGATCAATCTTCGATATGATATTTCCAGTGCGTTGCCAAAAAACGATGCGATTGCATCCCGAGAAATTCAGCCATCAAATTGTTCACATGAAATTTCGGGCAGTTTTTCTTCTTAGACTTGGGGTCTGTCGGTCAAGCTTGTTTGGGCGCTGAACTTTATTTCGTGAGTGTCACTGTTGTTCGAATCAGTTGCCGGCTGGGCCAGTGTGACTACTGCCTTTCAGGTTGTTTATCGGATTGCCAGTACTGACGTATCCCACGTAGCTTTAGGAAAAGAAACTACCCCACGACGGATGAGTTACTCCGGCTTCATAGTTTACGCTGGTTAGTTCATCTTCTCCGCATCCAACAGAACCGTCTTCCTTACAGATCTGTTCTCGTCCAGCCCTGTGCTGAAGCATCCGAGAGGGGGACAATGTATGACCTAGCAACGAAGTATGGAACTACCAACCAGTAAACTCATTCGGGTCACCGCCTTTCTGGATGGGATCTCATGGACTCATGGACGAATGGTTAACGACGCCAAAAGACATGGTTGAATCACGCAATCAATGATGCTCGTCAATCATCGATGCCATCGCCTTCAGCTCCTCAGTTTCTGGGACTAAATGATTACGTCATTGCCTCTAGTGCTTGGCTATTTCCCGGTGGCCGAAAATGTGGTAGCTGGAACCAACATACCCTTGGTACTTGGTTTACAGATGATACACTGAAATCACTAATCGATTGTCATTATAGAGCCTTGAACTTGACTGGATGATACCGGTGGGAACTAAAAAGCTCAGTTAAATGACGTTTTTATTAGGCCCTCACTAGATGCATACAAACCGACCGGTCACGTAATCCTTTTGACAGACACTGTGGCCGCTCTATCACGCTTGAACAAAAAGTGTGTTCTGCCACTCTGTGCGTGGAATGCGGTCGCCGGTCCGGATAACTACTCCATTCCAAAAGTTAGAAAACTGGGGATATCGACTCATCATCTTTCTTCTACTTTTTTCAGCTTTCTTAATCCTTTTAAGCGCTGCACACCAGTGGGTGTGGTTGGAGTTCACTTGTGTGCTGGCTGGCATAGCCACACGGCATTTGTTTGCTTGAGCCTACCAATGTTTGTCTGCGTATCCCGGGGATCGATCCCTTTCGGAGAATGCATTCCAGTGTACCGACACTGTTCAAATTCGCCAGCGAACTATCCTGCTAGCCTTTGATATTAGTTGATTGATTCAGTCTGCTGGCTAAAATGAGCGATAGACATCAACATTCCACGCTCTATCGGGAATTTGTCGGTCAAGATTTGTCAAATGATCCACCTGGAACGGATCTTGCTCAATGAGTCGTTTAGCCTATCTGCCGCGATAACTACCCGGTCTATAGTGAAAGTCTGTGATCACATCTATGACGCGTGTATAGACAGATTCAGAGGTTCTGAAGGCTATAATCGATCATTCCTTTCCTGAGCTTGCGCTGGGTGACTTTGTGACCCAACATGCATCTGTTGCTGGGATTTTGATTGTTTGGTCACACTACAGTGCCCACCGAATGTTGCTTGCTATCACGAGAGCAAATTCCCGAATCTCTCTCCGGATCGTTCCTACTCAACTTATACTGTTACTACCATGCTTGAAAAACCTTCCTTGTCCCGATTATTTTCAGGTCAGCAGCAAAGAACCTACCAAACAGGTCAGACTTATTCGTCTCCGGAACCCGTGGGGCAACGATCGAGAGTGGTATGGACCGTGGAGTGATAAGTCCAGCGAGTGGAATGCTATTTCCGTTTCCGAACGAAAACGCATCGGCCTGGTTTTCGATAACGACGGAGAGTTCTGGTATGTGTTTTTGGAAGTTGGTTTCTTGTCCGTCGCTGTTCATTACGAAAAGCGTTATCCTCACAGTCCGACTAATGTCAAAGGGTGGTAATATAGCCAGGCATAGTATACACCTGGCGGATACTATTACAGGTAACATGTAATCTGTTATCGGCCACTCCCGAATTTCGTGTCATTGCTGTGATTTTAGGCTCGTTCTTGGCCAGCCGTGTGACCACTATGAATACACACACGGCCAAAACGAACCGATCGCTCAGAGTTAAATAACACGCACACACACACACACACGACAGTCTGTGTTACAGCGATTGATTCAGCCACCCAGTTCGGCGGTGGCTGGCGCGTATCATCATCATCAGCAGTAAGAAAAGCACGGCTCTTTTCAATCAATTAGAAAAGGTTTAGAACCGATTGAGAAGTCACTGTTTCAGAAGAGCTTGGTAAACAATCGGTAGTTTTCACTTGGGCAACGTTTCGCTTTTGACACAAAAGCTTCATCAGGCCAAGTGAACAAGTCCTGAACAGGTAAACAAATGACTCTTCTGGAATGAAACAAAGGAAGACCCGTGGTTCGAACCGCTCCTGTCTGGGCTTAGACAATCCGACAGACCCCTTCTGAAGCGTGATTCTTTCTGCGATTTGGACGCGGTAGCTGATAGAATAGACGCTCACGGACATAACAGATCTACGCAATAATTGCCTAACCACCACGTTATAATCCACTGTACGTTACCCACAGATCTTAGACCAGTATTCGCCAGATAAGTACGCACCCTCTGAAGACGAGGCGCTCAATTGTCTACGTTAGTAGATCACCTGTCCAATTGCGTCTACTCATCAGTTGAAGTCATATGAAGTCTGGAAATACGAAACAAAGTCCATATCGACCTGAATGACTCTCTTCATCATCACCATCGACAGCATGACACCAGTGTTCAACACCGATGCTTCACTGCCGTACAACCATGATTTA